GGGGTGGTGGGTCAGGCTGGAGAAAAAGAGACTCGGGGGGACCTTACCACTTATAACTCCTTGACAGGAGGTTCAGGTTTGGCACCAGGAGGAATTTCTTCCTGGAAAGAGTGGTCAGGCCTTGGCAGGGGCTGCCCAGGGACCTTTGGAGTCCCCATCCCTGGAGGTGTCCCAGGAAGGGCTGGAGGTGGCACTGAGTGCTCTGGGCTGGGGACAAGATGGGCATCGGGCACATCTGGGACTCCATGGGCTGGGAGGGCTTTTCCATGGGAGAAGGTGGGAAGGGCTCAGGGTGCAGTATTACCCTGTGCCAGAGGAGCTCTCCCAGGAGAAGCTCTCAGCTTCAGGGGCTTTGAGAATTTGGCAGAGGAGTTTTTTCTGGCTTTTACCAGGATCATTCCTTCTTCCTGTGGTGGATGAAATCTGTAAGGATTTGTCTATGGGAATGTGGAGACCCTTAATACTCCAGAATTGTGGTGTGTGGCTGTTGGAGTAGTTGGAGGTGACACAAATCATCTTTTTAGTTCATGTTTTAGGGAAGTGTGGGATACTGGTTGCTCTGGGCTGATTTAGGCTCCCATGGTTCAGGGATGGTAGAAGGCTGGGGCTGCTCCCAGTCTGGATTTAGAATTCCCAGAAAGTGCTGTTCGCTTTAGGGAAACAAAAACTTCCATTTCAAGGATGTGCAGATGGATGTGGTGATTTCCCTGTGGGAAGCTGTGCTGGGCAGTGCCCAGTCCCTGTGTACTTGCCTTGGCCGGGAGGAGATAAAGAGAGCTGGGATGGGGGAGCTGCCCAACCTGGGCACAGGGAAAGGGCAGGTTTGGCTTTAACTAGAATTGTTGGATTTGGGAATATTCCTGGTGTGGGCCATTCTTGAATTGCTTAAGTTGTTAGTTCTGCACTGCTGTATGTTGGCTATGGCTTCCAGGGAGTACCTGGAAATGTGGGGGAATTCCTGCATTTCCTGCTGAATGTGAAGGGAGCTTGGGTAATACTGTCATTTCTTTTGCTAACAGGGCATTGTTTTAGTAGTGCAAACTGTTTTTCTGGTTAATATTGGCATTTTCTTTTGGCTAATAATGGCTTTTTTTTTAGATTGTTATTCCCATTATTTTTGGGAGGTAATACTGGCTTTTCTTAATATTGGCATTTTTTGGCTAGTATAGCTTTTTTGTTTAATAAGGCATATTTTTTTGCTAGGTATAGTTTGGTTTTGGTGGGGTTTTGTTTCTAGTACTGGCATTTTGGGGGTAATGTGACCATTTTTGGGGGGATAGTACTGGCTTTTTTTGTTATTCTGGCTCGTTTTTGGCTAATCTGGAATTTTTGGTGGCAGAGCTGCAGTAAAACAGCACACAGTTCCCTGATAGAGTGTGCCTGAGGGAGCTGTGGGGATTGTGCTGGATTTGTTGACAAACTCAAGGAGTTGGAGCAGAGTTTGTACCTGTTTGTTCTGGGGGAGAAGATTGAGGAGAGGCAGCAGGGAATGTGCTGTAAATAAATGGTGGGGGTTGGAAAGGGAATTGGGCCCATTAAAACTCCTCTGGAACAGCAGCTTCTGGGAAGTGCAGAAGTGGGAAGCTGTGGGAAGGTGGATTCCTGTAATCCCTGTGCACTGTATTCACCTGTGTTGTGTTTGATGCAATTGGCAAATAGGGTTAAACAGGAAAATCAGTCCTGGAAACCCCCAGAATTGCCATGGGATTGTCACAGCCCAGGACACAGGCTGAGATACACAGAAACTTCAGCCGTGATTAAGGGTTACACCTTAATTTTAGGGATACTAATGTTTAGTGGTACCTCCTTATTTGTGTTGTCACTGGAATGTTGGTGTCCTTGTCCCCTCAGGGTTCCGGCATTGTTTGGAATTGCTCAGTGCCATGGGGTTTGTGCTGAAGGATTCTGGTGGGATTGCTGCCTTCAGCCATGAGAGGGATGGAAAATTTGTTTGCAGGATGAGCTTTCAATAAAACCTGAATTCTGCTTTCCAGGTCTAGGGGAAAACCTGATATATCCCGAAAATGTTTAACAAATCCTTTGGAACTCCGTTCGGAGGCAGCACTGGCTTTGGGACAACTTCAACTTTTGGGCAAAGTAAGTAAAATATCTAATCTGGTTTTAAGTTTGTTTTTAATGAGCTGTTTTTGCTGAACTGCAGCTCAGGTAATCCCATGGAGGTGGTGATCCCTTGTGGGATGGAATTAGGGAGCTGCTGGGTGCTCCAGCTGGCTTGGATGTGATTCAGGAGCCTGAGGCTTCACCCCTAACCAAGCTTTTACTTTAGGGAGACACCAGAATGCCATGTCTGTTGTGGAAACTTCCTTTTGTAGGAAGAGTGGAAAATGCAGTGCTTTGGGAAGGTGACCTTGCTGAGGTTTTTTGGGATGGAAGCAAACCAGGACTGGGTTTGCTTGGAATGCTTGGCAGATAAAACGGTGTATCCTGAGGGGTGTTTGTGGAGCTCCAGCCTTAGCTCTCCAGGCAGATTTTGGGAATGGAGACTCACTGGGCTCTGGTGCTGCTTTACAGATGCCGGCTTTGGTACGACCAGTGGAGGAGCCTTCGGAACATCGGCCTTCGGCTCCAACAACAACACTGGAGGCCTTTTTGGAAGCACACAGACAAAGCCAGGTACTGCCCTGGTGGAGTGCAACAGGAGCCTGGGGGGGATTGTTGGTAAAAAAGGGAGGGAGGGGGACAAAGGGAAAAACCTGCAAACCAAAGAATCATCCGTGAAAAACAACCAAACACCCTCCCAAGCTCAGAACAACAAAAACCCATCAAAGCCCCCAAGC